CTTAGCCCAATTTCTTTTTCTCTCTCTCTTTTTTTTTTTTTTTGAGACAGAGTCTCCCTCTGTCACCCAGGCTGGAGTGCAGTGGCGCGATCTCAGCTCACTGCAACCTCCCCCTCCCGGGTTCACGCCGTTCTCCTGTCTCAGCCTCCTGAGTAGCTGGGAGTACAGGCGCTCGCCACCACGTTCAGCTAATGTTTTGTATTTTTAGTAGAGATGGGGTTTCACCGTGTTAGCCAGGATGTTCTCGATCTCCCGACCTTGTGATCCGCCTGCCTCAGCCTCCCAAAGTACTGGGATTACAGGCGTGAGCCACCGCACCCGGCAACCCAATTTCTAACTACATATTTATTGGTGTGATTAACTACTGGATGTCTGTAAGCTGTCCAGGTGCAAGGACAGTGCCTACCTCGTTCACCAGGATATACTGGAAGCCCGGCACCATGCCTGGCTTATATAAGAGGCACTCTGTAAGAGCTGAATGAATGAATGAATGAATGAAGGGATGAATGAATGAAAGCACTTAGTAAAGTCTAAAGCAAGAGTGATGGGAAAGGACGGACGATAGTAATTGTAAAATAACTACTGTCAAGCAGGCAGAGGCAGCAACACAGCAGGAGTTCCCCCAGCCTATGGCTGGGCAGGCTGTACCCTGAGCGGCCTCCTCCCCACCGCACCTCTCCCTACACTCCGGGGTCACAAGCCTTGGTAAGGCTGAAAGTAACAACAGCTGTTTCACCGGTACTGCCTCATTTAACCTGCGTGAGTGGATCTTGAGATGATGCTGTCATTATTCCCACTGTAAAGATTTGGAAACTGGGGCTCCGGGAGCTTCAGTAATTTACCTGAGATAAATGAATGGTGGGGCTGGGATTCACACACAGGTCTATCGAAGGTCACAGCCCCCACGAGGGTTCATGTTGACACTCTCCTGCCCCTCTGGTCACCTTTAAACCTTCCAATCTCTTCATCCCCATCTTTTTCTTTTTTTTTTTTTTTTGAGATGGAGTCTTACTCTGTCACCCAGGCTGGGGTGTGGTGGTGCCATCTCAGCTCACTACAACTTCTGCCTCTTGGGTTCAAACAATTCTTGTGCCTCAGCCTCCAGAGTAGATGGGACTACAGGCGCCTGCCACCACACCCGGCTAATTTGTGTGTTTTTAGTAGAGATGGGGTTTCACCATGTTGGCCAGGCTTGTCTCGAACTCTTGATCTCAAGTGATCTGCCTGTGTCAGCCTCCTAAAGTGCTGGGATTACAGGCATGAGCCACCATGCCAGGCCACCTGTCCTCATCTTTTCTCCTCCAAAGTCCTTGTGCTCTCCCCAGCAGCTTTGAGCAGGCACCTCTCAGAGCCTCATTCTACCTGTCTGTAAAATGGACACACAAATCTCTGACTGTTTTGTAATGAAGGTCCATGAGGATGGGAATGTTCTGTGTAAAACATGTAAACATGTTCTGTGTAAAAGAGCTGAGTGAAGTGGAGCCAAAGTAGTGAAGATGCTGCAGTGACCTGCGCAAGGTCACCCTGTGGTGGCAGGGGAACAGGTCTCTGCCCTCTGGCTGGGCACCATGGGCAAGTGAGTGTGAGGGTGGGCGGCTGTGTGAGTGTGATTGTGCGTGTAGACTACCCCAGGACCGACCTCTTGAAGGTCAAGAAAAGCCCCTGTTGCAGGCCGGACATGGTGGCTCACGCCTGTAATCCCAACACTTTGGGAGGCCAAGGCAGGTGGATCATCTGAGGTCAGGAGTTCAAGACCAGCCTGGCCAACATGGTGAAATCCCATCTCTACTAAAAATACACATATTAGCCAGGCATGGTGGCGGGTGCCTGTAATCCCAGCTACTCAGGAGGCAGAGGCAGGAGAATTGCTTGAACCCTTGAAGGCAGAGATTGCAGGGAGCCGAGTTTGTGCCATTGCACTTCAACCTGGGCAACAAGAGGGAAACTCTGATTCAAAAAAAAAAAAAAAAGGAGAAGCCCCTGCTGCTTCCAATTTTAAGGCTTCCAGTGTTATTAAATTAAAAAATAAAAACCTCATGCATTTTAAAGATTTATGTTTAACAAACGAACTTTTTAAAAACACACATACACAATGCAATGCCATGTACTTGTGCTATTCACAAGATAATTAGAGGATTTATAGAAAATATGAATTCATGGTGCACGGCGGGAGGTGTGGCTGGGTAATGAGATGCAAGCTCACAATGGCCTGGCGAGCAGCTCCTGCATTCCTCCCATTGTGTCCCTTTGTCACTACATGGTACATCCTCATTTGGGCATGCCAGTGGCCAAGAGACCTTCCTCCATCTGGCCTCTGCCTCGCGTTATCTCCACACGCTTGGCCCCCTCTCTGGCTTTGCTTTATTTATTAATTTTTTATTTTTGAGACAGCGTCTTTTTTTTGAGACACAGGGCAGGAAGAAGTCCATTAATTAATCCATATACCAGTTCACTCACAGATGTTTATTGAGCTCCTGTTTTGTATTCTGGAATCCATGTTTTGCTGTGGGGACATGGCAGTGAAGAAAACAGACAAGGTCCCTGCTCTCAGGAAGCCCACAGTCTTGGGTGGGAGACAGACACTTAAGTAAATCAGGCCATATAAACAGTGATGGGGCTGTGAAGGGGATTAACAGGAACTGAGATAGAATTACAGGAGACTGGCTGGATGCAGTGGCTCACGCTTGCAGTCCCGACACTTTGGGAGGCCAAGACGGGCGGATCACGAGGTCAGGAGATTGAGACCATCCTGGCTAACACGGTGAAACCCCGTCTCTACTAAATATACAAAAAATTAGCCAGGCGTGGTGACGGGCACCTGTAGTCCCAGCTACTCAGGAGGCTGAGGCGGGAGAATGGCGTGAACCTGGGAGGCGGAGCTTGCAGTGAGCCGAGATCGTGTCACTGCACTCCAGCCTGGGGGACAGAGCTAGACTCCATCTGAAAAAAAAAAAAAAAAAAAAGAATGACAGGAAAACCTACTGTTCAGTGCAGGTCTCACACAGAGTTGGCACCTTCTTTTTTTTTTTTTTGAGACGGAGTCTCTTTCTGTCGCCCAGGCTGGAATACAGTGACTCCATCTTAGCTTACTGCAATCTCCACCTCTCGGATTCAAGTCATTCTTCTGCCTCAGCCTCCCGAGTAGCTGGGATTACAGGGGTCTGCCACCAAGCCTGGCTAATTTTTGTATTTTTATTTATTTATTTATTTATTTATTTATTTATTTATTTATTTTTGAGACGGAGTCTTGCTTTGTCGCCCAGGCTAGAGTGCAGTTGAGCTATCTCAGCTCACTGCAACCTCTGCTTCCCGGGTTCAGTTCAAGCTATTCTACCTCAGCCTCCCAAGCAGCTGGGATTACAGGCGCCCGCCACCATGCCTGGCTAATTTTTGTGTTTTTATTAGAGACGGGGTTTCATCATGTTGGCCAGGCTGGTCTCGAACTCCTGACTTCAAGTGATCCACCCCCTTTGGTCTCCCAAAGTGCTGGGATTACAGGTGTGAGCACTGTGCCCAGTCCCAAACCACATTTGAATTAGAGCTTAAGGGCTCCAGGGCCAAATGGCTGTTAAGGGGCAGGACCAGCTGCCTCACTGTCACTCTCCTTTACAGAGAAAAGCTATTCTGGTCCAGTTCTTAGCTGCGTGACTTTGGGAAAACTCCTTCATCTCTCTGTGCCTCAGTTTCCTCATCTGTAAAATGTTTTTTGTTTGTTTGTTTTTTTAGATGGAATCTTGCTCTTGTTGCCAAGACTGGAGTGCAATGGCGCAATCTTAGCTCACTGCAACCTCTGCCTCCCAGGGTCAAGTGATTCTCCTGCCTCAGCCTCCTGAGTAGCTGGATTACAGGTACCACCACCAAGACTGGCTAATTTTTTGTATTTTCAGTAGAGACAGGGTTTCACCATGTTGACCAGGCTGGTCTTGAACTGTTGACTTCAGGTGATCCACCTGCCTCAGCCTCCCAAAGTGTTGGGATTACAGGCGTGAGCCACCACACCCGGACTTATTTATTTATTTATTTATTTAATTTTTTTTGAGACGTAGTTTCGCTCTGTCACCCAGGCTGGAGTGCACTGGCACCATGTCAGCCCACTGCAACCTCCACCGCCCGGTTCAAGTGATCCTCCTGCCCAGCCTCCAGAGTAGCTGGGATTACAGGTATCCACTACCACACCTGGCTAATTTTTGTATTTTTAGTACAGACGGGATTTCACCACGTTGGCCAGACTGGTTTCGAACTACTGACCTCAGGTGATCCACCCGCCTGGGTCTCCCAAAGTGCTGGGATTACAGGGGTGAGCCACCGCGCCCGGCTGTAAAATGATAATAAGCATGCCTTAAATATAACTTCCTTTTAAGGCTGTTCAAGAAATAAATGTGCTAAGGGCCTGTAAAGGGCTGAGCAAAGAGGCTGGCATAGTCAGTGCTCAGTAAATGGAAAGGAGAAGATGGAGATGAGGAGGATGGAGGGCCAGAAAGTTGGCCAGGCTTCCTCTATCCTTGGACGTCGGGGCTCCGCTCAGTCTTGGCAGTTCCAGGAATGGCCACGAGATGGCGCCTGAATCCCAGGTATGAGAGACTCAGCGGCGCTTCTTAGCAGAGGAAGCTGTTTTGGGGAAAAGGGGCCAGAGAAGCAGGTAGGCTCCTGAGGTTTGGATGGAGTGAGGCTTGGCATTAGATTTGCTTAAAGTCCAGCCACTTCAGCCTCTCCCTTCGGTTTGTCTCCTAGGGGTTCCCTGTACGTACCCCTTTCCCTCCAGCCCTCCAGCACTGGAGCCCAAGTCTCCCGCTGAGCTCCCTCTCCCTCCACACCCAGGCTTCTTAAACCAACCCCTCCTCCTCCCCTGTCATTCACGCACCAGGTAGGAGGACTTAACGGAACACTTCCTGTGGGCCTTGCAGGGTGGGGAGCCAGAGGAAATGACCTGGTTCCTGTTCTTAGCATCCTGGGGGTGTGATGGGAGGTAGGAATAGAAACCAAAAGAGATAAATGGAAAACAGGCAGGACTGGCTTAAGACTTCTTCTCCATCTGTAGGCTGAACCCGTTATCCTCATTTTGCAGAAGCAGAAACTGAGGCTCAGAAGCGTTGGGCCACACGCATGCATTGCCTTTCCCAGGTAGCTGGTGCTCCATCCCCAGTAATAAGGTGAGTTATATCTAAACATATCCATAGACTCATTCAACAGCATCTACAAGAGCGCCGCAGTTCTAGCAAGGATCAGACCTGGCCCCTGCCCTTGGGAGCTGGCCGTCTGGAGGATGAGGCTGGGTCTGGTGGCCAGAGGATGGAGTTGTTGGCCCCGCCTGAACCGGTTGGGGGAGGGAGGGAGGAAATGTGTGAGAGACTTTGTAGGCTTCTTATGCGCCAAGGACCTGCTCCAGTATAACTTTCAAAGAGGCAAAATCATGACTCCCATACAAATTAAAGTGAACATGTGTCAAAGATTTTCTTTGACTTATTAATTGACATGGAATCAGCAAGATGTTAAAATAAGTTCAACTGAGAATTTGACTTACGGGTATTTATATTCTCTACTGGACAAAATTCCTTTGCACGGTTATGAGCAGGAATCATTTGCTTTGTGATCTCTTTTCCTCAAATTGCCTCTATCCCTACAGAGCTATAAAGCCAATCAAAGACAATCGAAAGCACACAAGCACACACCCCTGAAGAATCAGATCATCACTAGAGGCCATAGCCAACACCCGGCACTCCTCTGAAAGGAACACACCCAGAAGTTGCTTGCCTTTTCCCAGGCTTTGATATATTTTCTTGGCCGACTCTTGGAAGGATCAGGATGAATCAGGTAGCAGCTGTTGCTGAGCAGGCAGGCCATCTTAGAGCCTGGTCCTCCTCTTTCCAAAATCTTCCCCATTCAGGCGGTAACTTCCAGCTGCAGCCAGGTGGGTAACCGCCAGCAGGTGGCGCTGAGGCAAATTCTCAGCTGCACGTGGGGAATTCTTGACCCTTGCGCTCCATAGGAGTCAGGTTTCCTGACTTCAGGATTTCATGGGGCCCTTTCTCCCCACCCCCTCCCCACCTTCTCCTTCTTCTCCTCCTCCTCCTTCTCTTCCTCCTCCTCCTCCTTCTTCCTGCTTCTTTTTTTTTTTTTTTTTTTTTGTGGTGGTTGCTTAGTTTTTTGAGACGTGGTCTCGCTATGTTGCCCAAGCTGGTCTTGAACTCCTGGGCTCAAGTGATTCACCTGCCTCAGCCTCCCAAAGTGCAGGGATCACAGACATGAGCCACTGCACTGGGCCATTTCCCCCACTTTTGGTTCAAGTTTTCTCATGATCACAGGACCGCTTCCAAGTGAGCTCATCTCGAGCCATAAATTCAACCATTCACTGATTCAATCAATCTTTCATTTGACAAAGTGTCCAGGTGCCAAATTGTATTCCTGAGGCTCTCCAGGAATTCTTTGTGTCCCAGAAGCAGCCCTTGTCTCTGCTTGTCCCGTTTTGCTGCTCCCAGGAGCAAGGCCTCACTCACCTTTGAAAATGAATTCTGCCATCTCAGGACCCCACCCCACCCTGCCCCACCCCTGCCCTGCCTTTGGGTGTGTCCACACCCCCTGGAAACCTGGAAAAGTCACCTCAGCAGAGGTTGAATAAAAAGCTTTACTTCTCTCTCTCCTTTCAAGCTCTCATTCCCCCCTCCCTTTATTTTGAGACCGAATCTTATTCCATCACCCAGGCTGGAGTGCAGAGGTGTGATCTCAGCTCACTGCAAGCTCTGCCTCCTGGATTCAAGTGATTCTCATGCCTCAGCCTCCCGGGTAGCTGGAATTACAGGTGCACACCACCATGCCCAGCTAATTTTTGTATTTTTAGTAGAGACAGGGTTTCACCATGCTGGCCAGGCTGGTCTCGAACTCCTGACCTCAGCCTCCCAATGTGCTGGGATTGCAGGTGTGAGCCACTGCTCCTAGCCTCATTCCCATTTTACAGGTGAAAAAGTGGCTACTGCTCCTCTGGGTCTGTCCTGGCTGTGGGCGAAGGCTGTATCTCTGCTGTACTCCACTTTACTCAGGCCAGAGGATGGCTGAAGAGCTGCCCCCAGGCTTCACTGTTTCCCTGGCCTTCCCATAAACTCACATTCGTGGAGGACTGCAGCATAAGAAGCACCTCCCGTACGCTTCCCAAGGGCCTGGAAAGTTCTCCAGAATGTAGTGGGAATAACTACAAGCACAGTCCCATCCCAACTCAGCAGGGAAGGAGTGCTGGGGTGACCACAGCTCCCTCCTCAGCTGAGACCCTGCCCTGGGGTAGGGGCAGCAGGCCAAGGGGATGGAGGTGGGCAGGCAGAGTCTGCAGGCCATCATGGTAGTGAGGCCTGCACTGGGGCTAGGACACACATCTGTCCCACTGGGTGCTGGGCAGTGTTTCCCTGGCTCCTTGGTTCTTCCCTGTATGCTGGGTGCAGAATTGTGGGGCATCAGGGAGAAAACCTTCCCCTTCTAGGTAAGGGTCTCTTAGGGTCTCTGCCCTCCATCCTGTGACTGTGACAGCAGCAGGAAAGAGGTCACCCCAGTGTTCCTGCGTCTCAGGGATTCCCTGAAAGGAGAATCTGAGAGAAAAGAGTAGGAGTCCTTGGGAAGCAGATCGTGAGTAGAAAGGTCCCTGGTCTCTGGCCACCTGGGGCCTGCAGGCAGTGAGGTCTGCTGGGAATGAAGTGAATGGTGGGGTAAATTTGAAGTCAGGTAGGAGAGAAGCAGCACCAGACCCCCAAGGCCCGGACAAGCCTGCCAGCTCCCTGCAATTTGCACGACCTTGCATCTCCCTTCCTTTCCTGGGAAGCATGTGGTCTGATAGCTTCCAGGATGACAGCTTGTGCTGGGGCCTGGACTTCTCTGCTCTGACAGATTCAGACATTTGTCTTAGTTTGTTTTCTGTTACTTACAACAGAATGCTGAAACTGGGTAATTTCTAAAGGAAATGAGTGTATTTTTAAAGTTCTGGAGGCTGGGAAGTCCAAGGTGGAGGGGCCACATTTGGTGAGAGCCTTCTTGCTGGTGGGAGCTCTCTGCAGTCCTGTGGGAGGGCAGGACATCGCACGGTGAGGGGGCACAGGGGTGTCCCTCAGTGTCCCTTCCTTTTCTTATAAAGTCCCCAGTCCCACTCCCATAATCACCAGTTAACTCATTAATCCATTAACCCACGAGATTAATCCATTGGGCCGAGCCTTCATGATTCAATCACCTCTTAGAGGTCCTACCTCTCAATACAGCCACATTGGGGATTAAATTTCAGCATAGCCTGGGTGCACTGGCTCATGCCTGCAGTCCCAGCATTTTGAGAGGCCAAGGTGGGCGGATTGCTTGAGCCCAGGGGTTCTAGACCAGCCTGGGCAACATGGTGAAACCCCATCTTGACAAAAAATAAAAAAAATTAGCCAGGCATGGTGGTATGCACGTGTAGTCCTAGCTACTCCAGGGGCTGAGGTAGATTGCCTGAGCCCAGGGAGGTTGATGCTGCAGTGAGCCATGACTGTGCCCCTGCACTCCAGCCTGGGCAACAGGGTGACACCCTGTCTCAAAAACATAAAAGAAAAAAATCTTTCAACATGAGTTTTGGCAGGGACAAATAGTCCAACCATAACAATATCCCAGAGTTATTCCATCAGGATGGGTCCCTGGGGGCTTTGCAAAGGCAGTACTTCATTTCCTCAGATGTACTGTGAGAAACTGTTGGAATTTCTGGTTTGGGGAAGGCTGAGCCCTCAGAAATCTAGATGAGATTTTCTAGTTTCTTCCTTTGCTGGGAAAAACAGATCAGGATGGCCTCCTTTAGACTGTCAGACACTGGGATCCTTGGACCTCCCTCAGGAGAAGAAAAGTTGGACCTTCTACCACCAATAGGAAGGGCACTCAGAAATCCTGGTGATATGGCTCTGATGAGTGGAGGAACACCAGGGTTCTTGGTCCTCATGCTGGTTTAGATAAAATGACACAGACACATGTAGAGTGATTTTTAAGGAGTGGAGAGTTTAATAGGCAAGAAGGGAGAAGGCAGAAGGAAGAAGCTCCCCCACACAGAGACAGAGAGAGGGGGCTCCAAAGCCAAGAGAGGGAAGCCCAAGTGGTGTGCAAACCAGTCAGGTATACGCACAGAGGTCGGAGGAGGTGGTGTCTGATTTGCATAGGGCTCAGGGGATTGGTTTGACCAGGCATGCCATTCACTTAGCCCGCAATAAAGCTGGCCCTCCCACCCTAGCCTTTTAATATGCAAATGCAGGGTGCCAGGATGTTTTACACACGTGGGGATATGTGGGGGCAGCCATGTTGCCAGGAACATGTGGGGCAAGGGCAAGAAGACGCAGGAATTGCCATGTTGGGTGGACCCAGTTTCTAATGGCCTGCATTTGCATATTAAAGGCTTTTCTGGAGATGCTTTAAAAAATGAAAACTTTCCAAGGACTCCTTTTCCTCTCTGCCTAAAATAATTTCTTAATAACTCCTACAACACTGGTATTCTGAATATCAGAGGAACTGTGGATTTATGCTGATGAAGCAGGGCGCACCTGAGAGGGCCGGGAATGTTAACAGCCGTGTCCTATGGCGTGGGCTCCCTCCCTCCGTTTCCAAAGGGATGAATACAAGAGAAGGTGGAGGGCTCTGCACAACTGCCTTTGGTGCCTGAAGTCCCACTGAGGCAAATCTGGGCCACACAGCCTCACCCCATTACCCCCTTTATGAGTGATTTCTGGAGATATTCCAAGACCAGCACATTCTCATCCTCAGGTATTTTAGCGATCTATTCCTAGGGCACAAATCATCCCCAAACGTAGCGGCTTAAAACAGTATACATTTGGCCGGGCGTGGTGGCTCATGCCTGTAATCCTGGCACTTTGGGAGGCGAAAGTGGGTGGATTACCTGAGGTCAGGAGTTTGAGATCAGCCTGTCCAACATGGAGAAACCCTGTCTCTACTAAAAATACAAAAAATTAGCTGGGCGTGGTGGCGCATGCCTGTAATTCCAGCTATTTGGGAGGCTGAGGCAGGAGAATCATTTGAACCCGGGAGGTGGAGGCTGCAGTGAGCTGAGATCGTGCCATTGCACTCCAGCCTGGGCAACAAGAGTGAAACTCCTTCTCAAAAAAAAAAAAAACAAACCAAAACCATATACATTTATATACATTTATCCTCT